CAGGGCACATCCACAAGACAAATTTCCCTCTACATTAAAACCCCAGTGAACCTTTATTGGTCCCCTCAGCAAACTTTAAGAATGCATTTACTGCTATGAAGAGCAAGCTTGCCTGTATTTTGTGAGACTTTACTCAGTCAAGTGACCGGCAAAGAAACAAAAGTTAGTGGTTATGGCCAGCACAAACAGCAGATCATTTGGCAGTCAGGGCAGTCGCTAACACAGAGCAAAATTGGTGGTGCTTTCAGTGGAAAGAAGGCATGTTTAGCCATGCCAGCGTTCCTTAATTTTGAACTTCATCACAGTGCCACTGTGGATCTCAGAATGTTACTGCTGAGACACAGCTGGTGCCTCCCTGGGAGGGCCACGGGTCAGCCTGGCTCGAGAGGCACAGAGCTCAGGAGCCCAGTACTGCTCGTCCCTACATAGGCAGTATTTTGTGAGGGACAGGGAGGTTTTGTACCCAGCTGGCCATGCTGAGCTCAGAGCAGGGGAGCACCTGCATCCCCTGGTAAAAAGATTTGGAGCATGTCAGGAGCCCAGAACCTCTGTTCCTCTCAGAGACATGATATTCTTAATCCACTGCTTGGCAGCATCTTGTTTCAGAGACAGGCAGGGGTGGGCTGCCTCCTATTGAAGCTTCCTCGGTTTCTCCCTGGTAACAAGTAAAAGGACAGAAGGAAATGGCCTCAAGATGTGCCAAGGGATGTTTAGATTGAATATTAGGGAAAATTTGTTCACTATAAGGGTTGTCAAGCACTGGAACAAGCTGCCCAGGGGAGGTGTTGGAGTCACCATCCCTGCAGGTATTTAGGAGACATTTTGATGTGACACTCAGTGACATGGTTTAGTGGTGGACTTGGTGTAGTGCTGGTTTAGTGGTTGGACTTGATGATTTTTAAAGTCACTTCAAACTTAAATGATTCTATAACTCCTATGTTGTAGTGGTTATGACTATAGCCAATGGTGGTGGGTTGACTGTGACTGACAACTAAGTCCCACACTGAGAAAAAAACTCATGGCCTGATGTAAAGCCAGTTTAATAAGTGAGGAAAATAAAAACAAGCCACAAAAAAGAAAAATTGAAATGATACAAAGTCAACCACTTACCCAGTACAGAAATTTAGTACCAGATGCAATGACTGCCAGAACTGATATGATTTTGCTGTGCCTCCCAATTGTTGGCAAAGAGAATTCCCGTCTCCAGAAGTCCCCCCACTGTCACTGCATTTCCTTCTACAAGCACTGTGCTCAGACTAGCACAGATGTGAATTTTACTGTAGAGGTTGATCCTGTTAAGCAATTGTAGCCAGAGCTCCCTTAGTTGTTTGTAGAACAAGGAGATACTGTGTTTCTAAGATCGTAACTATCAACCCTGTTTTACGATTTTTATGAGCATTAATGGAACAAGGTTTGGGGACTGAAGGAGAAAATGGAATATGAAAAGGAAAATGAAAAGAGGCTGTGAGGAAAGCATGTCATTTCTAAATGAATGCTCTGCACAGAAGAATTGAATCTTTTCACAGCTGAAAATGGATCTTAAATCTGATGCCTTTAGCTTGTTTCAGCTTCTGTAATGAAATAGAGTTTTCCTAATACCCTGTGACCTGAATTTCTCCCTGCTTTATGGGTGCCATTCCTTGACGTACAAACCTGTATTTTCTCAAGTCAGCATTTGATGATGGATGTCAAAATACAGGTCATGTATTATGCATATAGCATTACCGATTTAAGGTGTTTACTTGTCAAGTTGAAGAAATTTAAAAATGTCACATTCACTGAATCTGCACAGCTGTCACTTGTAGTTTTTCATGCCTTTAAATGAAAGTTCTGATAAAGCAGGTTCGTTTCTTGCACTTTTTTGTTTCTTTTTTTTTTTCTTTTCTCTTCTGGAGGAAAAAAATAGCCTGTGTATGGAAATTAGTTTGTGATTTGGGAGCAGGAATGTGTCTTGAAGGTGTTCAATGTTTTGTGACTCAAAACATAAGCACACAAAATCCCCAAATGCTCTGATTTTCCTTTTCCTGAAAATACTCCAAGATTTTTATATTTCTTAAAATAAAATTTCTAAAATGTCTGGATTAAGTATGAGCAAGGAAATTAAATTATCAGATACTTCTCACATCTTTCAAGACAGTAGGATGAAAAATATTAAGGCATGAGTGTATTTTTCATTCAAGGAGAAAACACAATCCCTTTAACATGCTTCCTGCATTTCAGACTGAATGTACTATGTATGCAGTGTGCAATTACAGAGCTTCTGGCAATCTGTGTCTAACAAAAATGCCACATTTACTTCAATCTTCTGACACCATCCCAGGAAGACAAATATTGTAAGGGTTAGAGAGGTGGCTACAAATGGCCTTGGATTGAGAGTGTGCGTGTCTCTGTGTACGTGCACGTTACAGTGAAGGGGAGGCAGGAAGAGCTTGCACATTTAGATGATTTACACTAACTTCAATTTTCTTTTAACTGGTAGGGAAATACTGCTGTGCTCCTGCTATCTGAAGGGCTGGATTCACTGGAAGGTGGTTTAGGAAGTGCATCCTGAGGTGGGGAGAAAGGCTTCAGGAAAAAAGAGAGAAGCAGAGCCTCTAGGGATAATCCCAGCAGTACAATCCCTAGAGTGCATGAGACCAATATTAGTTTTATTTATGTTTAGATAAGTGAGCATGAAAAGTCTTGCTGTTGCCATTTTGACATCAGGGGACCCAACTGGGCCTGCCACCTTAACTGCTCAAGGAATCTGCAGCTAGATGAGCTTTTTCTAATGTGACAAAGGCCGTATCTTGCATCTCCTAAAAGAGTGCCTTCCATAACTGAACACAAGATTTAAAACACTGGATCCTGCTGCAGAAGGAGGTGTCACAGTAATACCCACCTGTCCTCAGATAGCATTTCCTCCCCTGGGAGTCCCACTTCAATTTTTCTGCTGTTATGTGAGTGTCAGTGTTACCTGTGACTTAGGAGGTTGTGACTGAAGGACCTCTGTCAGACTCACTTGGTAAGCCTGAGGAATCTCAGGCTCTGCCATGAAGATGTAAACATTCAAAGAGCCAAAACAGCTCTCAGTCATAGTGCCAGATACAAGAAAACATTTGCAAACTGAAACTGGCTGGGGCTGCAACTCACTGTCACCAAGCTGGTCTTCTTGAGTTCAGCACAACAGGTGGTATTACGTGACTGACTGTTAACATTTCCGATTGTCTCTAAAACAGGCTTTCTAAAGATTTTCTGTCCACTGGTAATATCATATAGAGCTGCTTTACTGACTTAGGTTTCTCCATGACAATGTTTTTGTCTTGCATGCCTGTTGAAGAAACCATATCCATTTCTTTTCTCCTGAGGAACTTCTTTGCAGACTTTTCACTCCCTTTTTAAACTGTCCTGTCTGTACAATCACCACGTTGCATCTAGTTTTCTTATGATAGTCAGAATGAAATTCATACCAGTACCTTCTGCAGAGCTAAAAAAGTCTCTTCCCAGTGATTTTAGTTTTATTACCTGTACATTCTCTATGTGATACAGACAAAACATAGGGATAGATGAATGGAAAGAGAAAATTAAATCAAAGTAGCTCAGGTCTAGTGGTCCTTGTAGTTTAGGGGTAGTTTAAGAGCAATGTAATTATCATCAGAAGACAACTGTAAGTTCTTAAGAAAATATAAAACCAATATAACAACTACAATTTAGTTTAGAGATTACCTGGTTTGCAAATTGGTACCCAAATTGAAGGAAGGTAAGGTAGATAATATCGTATCGTCTTCCTCTGAATTCACTAACAGGTGAATGCATCAATGAATTTAATGGAGTGAAACAATTTCCACACTGCAAGATAGTGAATCTAAGTCATGAATTAATTTGGCTGTGATTAGTTGAGAATAAGTGTATACAGAATCCAAAACTAGTGACAAAGGGCCAAAAGTCTGTCCCTGGATGTCAGGTGTGAAGTCAAAGGATTTAGGAATACTGTGGGGGAAAAAAAAGAAAAAAAAGGAATGTGTTTTTTTTAAAAGCATGGTTTAAAATAAACTTGGTTTAAAATAAACTTGGCTCAATTATTTTATTCCTAGCAAAGAAATATTTCTCTAAAAATGCTGCCTTTATATTGGTCTATATGAAACCATAAAGTCACTTTCACTTCACTTTCACCATCACTTCTGCAATGACATTAAATGAGCATTCCCATGTTTTCTATAGCTTTACTGGACAAGGGGGATGGAATGCATTAATCTCAGTGGTGAATTTCCAGTCCTGCTATTACATGGGTTTTTGCATAACTACCTATTTTTCAGTACTTACAATCAAACTCCTAAATATTTTGCCGCGATATTTTTGTTTAAAGAAAAAAAAAAGATATAAAAAATACTCAATGTCAAGAGCTCCATTTCAAACTGTAGAGAATCTGGCTGAAAAGAGTCTTTTTTAAAGGTGAATATTGCTGGTCTCCAGATTTTGTTTTTTCTTTGAGGGCTTTCCAACATGTTTCTTCTCCCATCTTTGTTTCCTTCAAAGTGTCACTTTTTCCAGTTTTTTCAAGAAATCCTCTCACATACCATGTGAAAACCTGTGTCTTCTTCCTTTCATCCTTTTTGTCTTTTAGAATGGACCCTTCCATCCCACTATTCTTACAATTGTAATCCTTATAGAAATGCATATCATAAATGGTACACATGAAAATTGCAAAAAACCCCACCCTGTGGATGGTAGTGCTCTTGGAAAATAGATAATTTTAAATCTTGATTTCTGATCAAACCTAAAACTGGCTAACGGAAGCAGTTTGTTCCTCACGGTTGTACTACCATTTACAAACAGTATTCTCTAAAATCTTAATTGCTGTTTAAGAAAAGGTGTTTGCTTTGGGATTTTTTTTTTTTTTTTTTCATTTGGTATAGTTTGCCCTCTGTAAACTTTCTCCATTTTGCTCTCTCTTTTTTTTTTTTTTTTTGTGTGTGTGTTTTTTTGTTTTGTTTTGTTTTGTTTTGTTGTTTTCATTTTAGGCTTTACACCCCCTGGGATGGATAGGACATCTCCAGACAACAGTCCAGTGCATGGCCTTTTACGTCAACCCTCCATTACAACAGGAGCCAACATCCCTATCATAACAGAGCTAGGTAAGAAAAGCTAACATTTATCCTTCCATGTACATTCCCATGTCTTTTTCCCACTTTCCTTGTTATGCAGGTACAGAAAAATTACCCGTACTCTATCTTACACTGCTATGTCTTCTCTTTTGATAAGCTGTTTTGAATTATTCTTTCTAAACAAAGTTTAGTAACAGTTGGTTCACTTTGTTTGAATAACTGAAATATATTTCTGTCCTTTGGGTTTTCTCCATTTTCCTAAATAAATATTCTATCAGAAAAGACTCTTTTTGCATAGTGTAACAAACAAGCAGGGGTCTTTAGGCTAAGGTTAGAAAAGGAAAAAGGCCAGAGTAAGTATAAGCAGATATTTCCTGTGCATTTAATCAATTGTAAGAGGCCATTTGTTTATTTCTTCATGGTCCAAAACTGTTTAATCATGTGTAACCAAACTCTGTATAATAGTATGAGATATTTCACTCCTGAGAATACAATGATGGTAGGTAACTAGACTCTGATTTCCACTCTAGCTGTGGGTATTTATGTTGTCAAGCGGTGTGATGTGAAGTGCAGAAGCTGTTCTGTTTTTTTCATGGCAAATACAAACTTGATTTGTGGTCCTTTGTCGTTCTGTTTTCTTTTTCAGTTTTATTTTTTAGAGCCTTACCTGTCTTTTTCCCTTACTTTATTCTCTTTCTGTACTTTCTTTTCCTCCTAAATACTTTACTTACTAGCTAAGCCTGGCAAACTTCTGCCTTTGGTTTCAATCAGTCAGGAAAAAAACAGTGGAACCCACATTCTAATGATAACTGAACTGGGTAAGAAGTGCCTTTTTCCTTCACATCACTGTCTTATTTTCTGTTGTTGTTCTTACTGTCATCAGCTTTTCCTTTATTTATCTGGCTGTATCAGAGGGGCTACCCTCATGGCACTGCTTTGAATGTGTTTTATTTGTGGTTCTGGTTGAAATTGACTGTCTTGTTCTGGTCTTTCTTAATGATTTTTTTTCACGCAGCATCAGTAAATCTTTGATCACACTCGTCTGACCTGCCGGCTGTTTTCATAGCACCTCCTCACCAATTCATTTTTTTTGGCCTGAGTCCCCACCTCCCTGGCCCTCGCTCTCCTACACCAATTTTTCTCTCTCCTTTTCTCTCTTCTTTCTCTTTCTTTTTTGTTACTTCAGCCTGTTGTCAATTTGGTGGACATGCCTTAGCAGCTTTTCACAGGAAGTCCAAGAAGTAAGATACCAGAAAAAACCCCAAGCATCATACCTCCCCTCAAGCTACTTTTTTGTTTATTTTGTAGAGTAGGCTTTTTCTCAGAAGCTCAGGGTTTGAAGCTGTAGAGAAGCAGCCAAGCTCCTGCGTGGTTCCCTCTCAACACAGAGTGCTCTCACCAGCCTTTGGAGCAGCGTCTGATGAGCTTTTCCTATGGCACAGCACCCCCCGTTCGAACCCATCCCTCCTGGCCCACAAATCCCAGTGTGCTAACTTGCATCAGGAAGATAAAGCTCCTGAGGATAAACACACACCTGCAGAATTCACAGTAGATTTGTAGTGCCTCAGGAGCTGACCCCACGCGTGGCTAGCACCGTCAGCTGTTAGTGCGCCATACGAGAGTGGAAAAAGAATGCTGCTGTCAATAGTGCCTGCTCTCAGCTAGCAAATTAAACTGAGGCACAAGCTTTTCAAAAGGTACATTTTGAAATGATACAGCAGGCTTTCAAATACTGTATTGCTCAAGAATCTGGAGAATAAATTGATAGGTATTGTACTAAAGAAAGAAGTATTGTGGATATTGGTGTTTTCTTGGATGAAATTCTTCTGATTTTCAGGGCAGAACATTTCTCTTATTGAAGTACTAAGGTGTTATGTTTTAACAGTTACATCAGGGAGTGCAAAGGCAAGAATTTTAAATTCTATCCTAATCTCATTTAGACAGCTATCATGAGGCTTTATCTGTAGTAATTTGCGTTTTGTAGGCTAAACATAGCAAGCGCAGTATATAGAGAGTTAGGAAAAAGAGTGGATATAAAACTATATGGGAAGGATGGAAGCTGCATGAGAAGGAACATTAGAATAGCAGGCAGAATTTCTGATTTAAAAGACCAGAGCTGAAATCTGACCAAGTTAACAGCAGTTCTCATGTTATTTTCAAAGTTTGCTGGGTTGGCTCCGGAGATGTGTTCACATGGGGAATAGGGATGTAGTCAGTGTGCGCAGTTTGAAATGCTCAAAAAGTTTTTCATTTCCCTTTCTTGCATGGGAACTGAAATTAATTTGTCATTTAGTAAGTTGAAGGGTATTTCAATGGCATAGCTAAGCAGTATGTGCTTTCATGCCTGAGGGAGGCTAATATGGAAATGAAATATTTCATGAAATATGATCCACTTGATACACTGATCTCAAGGAAACAACTATTTTTGGTTGGAATGAGTTGGAAGCAGAGAGCTTAACTGTGACAATGAAATGCCAGAGAAAGTCAAAATGACAAATACTACTTTATTTGGGCTTTTTTCTAGAGCAGCCTGATGTAGATTCTTTTTCACACTGGCTAATGTAGAATTTGTGGCTGAGAAGGTGAAGTTATAGAGACAAATATTTGAGCAAAAGGCAGTGCTGCAAGAGAATCACTGCTCATTCATTCAGATAGATGCATGTTAAAGGGACAGTTTATCCTCTTTTGAGCCGTAAGTGCATTAACACCACTCCAGTAAGAATCACAGCAGCACATCTAACAGATGCCTGTGGGCTATATCAGTTTTATTGACAGCCTTTATTTTACAACGGGGTTCTAACTTTGTATCTTGTGGTAACATTTCAGTGTACATGCATACAGCCTCAGCCACTGTACCCCACCAATACAGCAGGATTGTATCCATATCCAGGAGCATAATGTATCTCATTTTGAGCGCAGGCAACTGGTGCCACAAAGCCACTTTACAGGCAAGGGATAGGAACCTGTCAAGAACAAGAGTGTCACCTCTTACGAGCAAGATAACGAGCAGCAGATTTTTAAATGCACATTTTCACATCCATCTTGATTTCATTTTCAGTGACGTCAAAGACACAACTCTGTGTTCCCAGACATATGCCGTTTCTTTTTCTTTGACTGTGTGATGTGTAAGGTCACATGCCGGTGACCCAGAAACACCTTTCGATTTTACTCTCAATATTTTTATTGTTATTTTCAGTAAATGATTCAAATGTTCAGTTCTTGGACCAAGATGATGATGATGATCCCGACACAGAACTGTATCTCACGCAGCCTTTTGCATGTGGAACCGCATTTGCTGTCAGCGTGCTGGACTCTCTCATGAGCGCAGTAAGAAAACAAAATATTTTTCATTCCCTTTCATCAGACTTGTTGTGGAAATGTGTGAAAGTTTAGAATCTTTTCCACAGGTAGGCAGAAGATGCTTTTTTCTTTGATGTCAAGAGAATTTCAGAACCTAAGTTAGGTTATTTTCTTAGTTGGACACGGAGACCATACGTGAGATATCTAGGACTTATCTAGGAGTACACAATTTTATAAGGAAACAGTCTCATGTCAGATTTTAAGGATAATGTTTTACCAAAAATGTTGTCTCTTCCTCCTAAAATCCACATTCAGTCCCTGTGCTCACCATTCTTGTCAGACACCATCAACTGTGTTTTGAGCTTTTAATTTCCTGTAGCTATGAGCAATGCTCTGAGTGCTGGGGGACACTGATAGAACTCCACAAAAGCCATTGTACACATATCATGAACTATACTTGTGGGAAGAGAGGTTATCCTCTCTTTTTTTATATGAGTTTTCTTGTGAATCAAAACTTCAGTGCATGCCAGAAACTACAGATGGTGGCCTTTGGTTTTGTCTACACTGGAGCTTTTGTTTTTTAGCCATAGCACAGTTCTGGAGCAAGTGCCTCAGTCATGCTCCTTTTCATCCTCCAAATTTTGGCTAAGTTTTCAGACTAGTCTTGCTCTGTGTGAGCTACCCTTCTTTCAGAGGGACCTTAAACTCTGCTAGATATAGCAAGGACATAGTCTTTTTGAAATCTGAGAGTGGGCTTTCTGAGCTCTCTGTGGAATAAAGTTCCATAGAGCTGGAAATGATCTGTTGTAAACCCCAAGTAACACTACATATGAGCAGATGGGTTTCTCTGAAGGAGCCAGGTCTGACCTTCACCTGAATTCAGAATGAAACTTTTTGCCTTTAAGAAGAATTCATAGTGATCTTTATTATTAATTATTGTATTTGTATTTAATATTTATGTATTCGTGTTTTCTAATTTTCCTTGCTATATTTTTCGTATGTTGTATCCACAGATGAATATTATGAGTCTACACAGATAAAATTTTATTATAATGAAGCCTAGGAGTTTTCAATAACCTCAGAAAATGCTTTTCTTGAAAGCTACTTAAAATATTTTGTAGGTGTGACAAGTAGAGGAAACCTAAGCAAGGACTTTAAACTCTGTACCTTCTCTAATTAAAATCTCTATCTATAAAATATTTGGCATATTCACATAATAAATGGGAATTTTACATTAATGGGAATTTAACATGAAGGTTCCAAATGTTACTTAGAGCTGTTTATCTACTCCCCTTATTATCTAAATCAATGTCTCAATGTATTGTGCAGTAGGGCACTTCAGAATCAAGAAAAAAAGTAGGGTTAATCCTTCAGGTTGACACTGGCATTGCCATAGGAAGAGACTGAGATACTGTGAACATCATTGCTTCCTTGTGCAAAGGGGTCTCAAGTAAATAATATGTAGTGATGTAGTGAAAAATAGGTCTGTTCAGATATTTCAATATTTCTAGTTTTTTCTAGCTTTTATTAACTTCTAGTTTTGGACAACTTGCTCCTCTGTTTCTGCAGTTCCTTTCTATAACAGTCCTTTTTCTAAACATTTTCACATCTAAGTGGTCATATTATGTGTCATATTATGAGACAGTGAAGCCTAAAGCCAGAGAAAAGTGATAACAAGAGTAGAAAAATTCTCTACTTAAAAAAATACTAATCAAGAAGACAAGCCAAGGATTCAGTCAGTTAGCACTGTTCACTATCCTGTATTTCCTTTCACCAGTTTTCTGATCAGTGGCAGCGTTATCTTCTTTTTATTTCTCAAAGGCCCATCAAGGAATTGGAAAAGTACAATTCTTCCTGCCCCTTCAAAAAATGTAAAATGTGTCAGATGTTTTCCCTTTACTATCCATATTCTTATGGGGAAGGTGTGTTCTCCTTTCACTTTTCACAGGAAAAGAGTGTTTCTCACACAAACTAATCCATTTGCCAGTATGGGCAGACTGAACCCCAAATCCTAGCTAAATTGTGGGATCTTCAGTCGTGCTTTCATCCTATTAATAGTAAAACAAGTGTATGAAAGGTTAGAAAGTCAAATAATAGCCATGCATACAGTATTATTTCTGACCTGTGGATCCCTTGAAACATGCATGTAGATGTATGTATATAAAAAAAGAGCAACAAAGTAGATCTAAAATAATTTTCTTAAGTAGTCAATTATTCAAGTGTTAAATTTTTATTTTATTTTTTATTGTTTTATTCATATTGAAGAAGTGCAACTCATGAATCACAGATTAGAAAATATGGTAACTTTCTAATTCAAGCCTGGGTGCTGGACATCTTCACATTCTGATAGTTCAGCATTATTTCCTGTAAGATGACAGTACTGGACATTTTAAATTTGAAATTGTCTGTTATTTCCTTATTTCAAAGGTAGAAATTTTAATGTAGTTTGGTTTTCAAAGTGCCACGTACTGGTCACCTACACACAGTTTGGTTTTGCAGCAAAGGCAATATATTCCATAAGCTCAGGATTCAGAGTGTAGTGGTCAAACACTGTTGCTCAGAGGACAACAAGAAGCTCAAAACCTGCATCGTGTTTTTAATGAGTTGGTAGCAGGGATCTCTCCAGGTTTGGTTCTGGAATGTTCCTGTGCTCTGTGGGAAGGCTCTGGGCTTAGTTCATGGTGCAACCCTGGCGGTGGCTATTGTTAAAAGGCTCCAGCTAATTGTTATTATGTCTTCAAAGAGACATCTACTGCCATCACGTACTTAAATGATATATTAATATTTATTTAGTTGTAGCATATGCAAACCCAGGGAAAGAATACACGTTGTCTGTCAGTCTCAAGGCAGCACCACTTCTGAAAAGCAGAGCATGCTTTCATCACCAAGTAAAATGTAACTAAAAGGTGTGGGATAGGAAGCATCCTTTAGATTATGTTAATGTTTTTTAAAAATGTTATCTTCAGCTATAGAAAAGTTATATGACATAGGATTGTCAAAGAAGAAAATTTTTGAGCAGAAGTACTTCTTTCTGGGTCTTGTTGAGATAGTTATTCCATAAAATCCTGTACATGCAAGGAATCCAGTTTTCAACACACAATACCTTCAAAAGTTTGAGCAGTTGGCCTGAGAGCCAAAGGTTCCCTGTTACTCCTTTTGGCACTGAAGATATGAGAATCACAGAAGTTCTGGAAGGCTGGCATCCCTCCCACACCTACTGCTGCAACAGACCTGAGGTGCTGCTGGAGGCAAGGATCTCCAGCACCAGGTGATACCATTTAACATTCACTACCCTGGAATTCATTTGCTTGTCCTAGAACTTTAGGTCTTTATTGTTTCTTTTTCTTCATGTAAACAAAAGCACAGAATAGAAGAAAATCGTTAAAACAGTTGAAAATAACTTTCCATTATATCCTGTACTCAAGAGTTTTCCCTAAGGGATCCTCACAGTCTTACTTACATAGAGAAGAAACTGTTCTAATCTTTGATATGAACACAAGACTATTTTTTGTGCAAGTCTGTTCAGAGAATTAGTAAGCAGCATCTTGTAACTTAAAGTTCTATGAACTTCTTTAAAATTTGGACAATAGTTTAAGAATTAATAGATTTTCAAATGGTGAAGTGCTGTTATTTATTTTCTCTGTTGATTCTCTCTCAAAGGCTCTTTTGTTATTAGTATGAATTACTGATGTTAGCTCAGTCACTCCTTGGGCTTGGCTACATATTATTTCTCCAATGGAAAAAGAAAAGCAAGTTAAAATATTTGTTTGAAGATGAGGTTTAAAGTCATGTGTAGCAGAGGAGGAGTCTTCTTTTAAGAAAATTCCTTAAAAAACCCACTAGCAAACACAGAAAAGGCAGATATAACTTGAAAAATGACAATTTCAGTGTAATTATAAATGAAAGGCAAAGTGCTGTTAAAGTTAAAGCAATATTATTAAAAGATGTGCTAATTTTCAGTTAAATTTTCTGTAGAAGACCAATTATTTTAAAAGACATGACAGCATTAACTGCAAAACATAAGCACTCTGGTAATTATACTTTAAAAAATGATTGAACAAATGGGAAAGCATCCCTGAAACATTTGAAAGAGCTGCACTATGATTCCAAAGCAAGGGCTAGGTGGCACTGCTAGATCAGATATCTGTGTCATGATTTCCTTGCTATTTACCCAGTTTCAGTGTCTATGATGCATTTCCTTTTTTCTGTGTTTAGAATACAACTATTTCATATTTTCATTCTGGATGCCAATTAAAGTGATATCACGCACATGTCCAGTGTGAGGTTTGGCTAATGACAACAGCAAACAAGTATTCCTTCAGTTTTGATTTTACACTCAACAAAAGGGATTCTTTTCCATCACTGGAAAGTGCCTTGTTACTTTAAGTACAACAGCACCTTTCCAAAGACATTCTGTAGATCAGTCTCTTATAAGTACTGGCATATCCAGGCCATGTACCCTCCCACAGAGCAAGTAGAAGATCACTCTCAAATTAATTTCAGTGTATTATTATTCCAAAGGAAATGGATATCAGCTAGTTCAGCTTTTCAGTGTTCCCCTAGTTCCAAACTGGCAAGCTGTAATGAGGAGTCTGATTTTTGTGACAATCAAAAGCATGGGCAGACAGCTTTTTCTTGAGTGTTAAATATGCTAGTACAGAAGGGAGCAACCCTATTTAGCAGAAGGTGACAAGTTACAGCTTCCAATTTACCCATCTTTTCCTTCTCATGGTTGGGCGTTTTCTGATCAGATGCAATGCTGCAGCAGTTTGTCCTGAAACTTGGAATCTTTTCTCCCGTTGATGGCAAAAAAGCCACAAACCCCAAGAAACATCTTTTGGCTGCATTCATCCATCTGATTAAATGGTGCCATCCACATCAGTCATGGTGTGAAATCCAAATTAAGCCATTGTTCCACAATAAATGCTGCTTCCTTTGCTAGTAAGGGTCTTGGCTTTGCCTCAGAGGTATAGCACAGTGGGAACGGTTGCCAAAGAGGGCGACTGATTTCATCTCAGGGACATCAAGGAAGAAGTAATTGAAAAATAAACAATCGTGCCTGAATGTCTTCTCTCTCTCATGGTGGCAATTCCTATTAAACATCATGTAATCGCTCCAGACCTACATTCCTGCAAGGGGTCACATTGATTTTTCTAGATGTTAAGAGAGGTTTGAGTATTACACTTGAATTGTTACCCAGTGCATCCACATGTGTAAGAGCTGATTTGAGATCAGCTCTTGATTTAGACTATCTGAATCTTCCTGAACCTCTGCTTATGTTAGACTACTCTTTACAGTACGCCTTGTAGATAAAATATGAAGTGCCTTACCCAGGTTAACTTAAATAACAGGAGTTGATGAGATGCAAATATTTGCTTTAGGGCATGTATAACAATACGAATATGTTCCTCTCATTTTAATTTAGTCAACAGGTGAATGGCATATATGCCTGTGTAAATAAGCAGAGGAGCTTGAAGTTAGGAAACTTCAATGTAAAGTGAAAAACATTGCTGCGTGGAACTCATTTTCTTCTGTTTTATCTGTCATCTCCAGCGAACAATGAAACTGAAGTTTCATTATACAAAGAAAGAATATCAAAGTAACACGGATAGGAAGCCAGTTCTGCTTTTTGATCTCAGGATAAAATATTTCAACCTCTACCTCAGTTTACCCATGTATTAAATACAGTTACATTATATGGATAGAGCAGTGAATTCCATTGAAAAGTATTATTTTAAAAGTCTTATCTTTAGACAACAAGCACTGTTTGAGAATTCACTATTCATTTTTACTTGGTTGGATTACAGGCATTTGTTCTAAGTCCTAAATTCAACAAAATCCAGAAATTCAGTAATGTCAATCCTGTGTACTCTAAAGTGAGCTCATTTTTTCCTTTTATGTTCCCTGCACTTGCAAAGCTTCTGAAAACTCACACATTGGTGACATTATAAGTGACAGTCTTTCCATTTTTTTGTTCAACCTTTTTTTTCGCCCAGTACAATACATTGCAGATGTTTAACTGAGTATGTCTGAACTATACCAGTATACTTTTAAGTGAACTTGAAAGTCATTCATCTGGATTTAAATTAATATTTTAAATACCCATTGTTTGCCTGACAGACCAGCGATGCTACAGACGCTGGCAAAATGTCAGTGTGGAGTAAATCTTCCCTAATAAACCACACTTACCCTATACCCTAGAGTTTTTTAAAAGGACCACCAGGATCCCAAACTCATCATACATTTATCTGGAATGAACTCAAGATGTTTAATTGATACATGCTTATGTCTGAACACTGTCAAGTCTCGTAATAAGATGTTTAGTACAATACATCGGTTAGACTGCTAGAGTCCAGCCACAGTAATAAGTAATGACATTTGCAGCACAAAGGCAGCTCCCCAACGAATTGGTGACAAGAGTAAAAAGGCAATCTAGCCCGTGTAAGCTTTAAATGTGGTCTGAATTTTACAATTACATGTCCTAAAGCCCATTATTAGACATGAGAGCGATGAGAAGGAAAGCAGTCATTGCATCACTACTAACACCAATTATAGGAAACATAAATCATTCAAATTTTTGTACTTTAATAAAAATCAGCCTGAATTGGTGTTTAAGAGGAAGGATCTAGTATAGGAGCCTAATGGGATAGAAGAAAATAGAGTAATTGGAGGCTGCTGTCTTTTCACTTTCTATATAAAATTATTTGAAGAGACAGCCAAGAACTTTAAACAGCAGAAACCCGGAAAAGTTGTAATTTGGATGTCTTCAGTTGTGACTTTAATGGTGTTTGCTTAAAGAGCTTTCTTTTATCTCTGCAGACATACTTCAATGACAATATCCTCACACTGATACGGACATTGGTAACAGGAGGAGCCACACCAGAGCTGGAAGCACTGATTGCTGAGGAAAATGCATTGAGAGGAGGTTACAGCACGCCCCAGACACTTGCAAACAGGGACAGGTGTCGAGTTGCTCAGTTGGCTTTGTATGATGGGCCATTTGCAGACCTAGGGGTAAGAACATGAGGGAAATGTAGGACCAAGGCTGGTCTGTGCTCTATTAGCTTCCTCTCAGACTGAGTGAAAAATTTACCTTAATAAGCATATCATTTCTATTACTGAATTTGTTAGAGATTTTGGATTGTTTAAAAATTAACAGCACAGAGTTCCAGGTTTGCTCTTTACCTTTTTTAAGAAGCTGTATGACTGCCCAGGATCCTTGCCTGCATATTTCATACAGAAAATCCTGTGGCTCTTCTTCATTGTCAGCTACAGAGATGGCTGAGCTAATTCGGATGAGATAACCATTGTGCCATAATGAACTCTAAGAATACTCAATATGCATAGATATACCTTTTTCTGGTTTTGATAAGCTTATTCAGTATTTTCACCAAGCTTCTAGTTCTTAAAATCTGCTTATTATCTTGGAAACAAAGCTATAAGGTTTGTTTTCTGCTGGTTTTAGATGAACTAAAATTCTTATGAAATCCTAATTTTCTGATAATTTGACTGCAATGTTCTAAGGGTGAAGTCAAAAAACAAATAAACAAAAAATTTAAAGAACCCAAACCAAATAAATAAATGATCTTTTAAAAAGAGTGCATTCATAAAAATAGATGGAAGAGTATCTGGAAATGTTTTCTGGACCACAGTTTGAAATCTTGAGGTGAGCACCCACTCTGCTTTGATGATGATATATGTTTTGATGTTTCTTAAATTAACCTTGTGTTCACCAGCTCTGTCCAAAAAGAATGGAATTTCCTTCTTCACAGAAACAACAGGGAATCCCAGTTTAAGACTTAGGACAGCAAGAGTACACATGTAGAAGCCTACAGCCTTTCAGCTGGTGGAGCAGTCCAGTGGTAGCTGAGACCAGCAGCTCATCAAAACACTTCAGCATGCGGCTTAACATTTCCACAAATAAAATAAGCGACACCAGTCTTTCAAATGCTGTTCCACCAGAGCCTCAAATGCACTACATCTGTGAAGGCAGTATGCATTAACTCTCACGATTACTTAAGAATCACTATTTTAGCTACACAGATGAGCAAATCTAAATGTGTTTTTTTGCTAATCATACATTTAGTCGTTATTTTACATTATTATTTACATTGTTTCATTATCCTTTTAAACGCTTAGAACTCTAATTTCTGTTGTGCTTCTGGTGAATTTTTTTTTTTTTTTTTCTGGATGACAGTATGGCTGCTGCCAAGAAAGGGTCAAAGATACTAACAATTTAAATACCACAGCTAATGTAATTTGCAGAATATGCATTGTCTGGTACCGAAATTTATATTTCCAGCTTAAAACAAACCACTCAGTCTTTCAATTTGTCATTATTTCATTGACCAAGGCTCTCCAAAATAGCAATCATCACTTTACATAGTTACTTACTTGAAATAAAACATTTAGATTATTAATTTCCTTGGGTGAAAGGCTCTCATTTGAGACAAACAGTAGACTGTCTATACATTATCCCTTTTTTTATAAGTTCATGCTGAATGACCCTGACATTGTGTTAACAGAGCAAAGAAAGGAAAATAAATGCACTGTTCTCTTTTTCTGCTGTTTATCTCCTCTCTTTCCTCTAGGATGGAGGATGTTATGGAGATCTATTTTGTAAAGCACTGAAAACATACAATATGCTTTGCTTTGGAATTTATCGATTAAGGGATGCACATCTAAGTACTCCCAGCCAATGCACTAAACGGTGAGTCTGGTCTGTTAGAGCATCTCTGCTTCACTGATCTTCAGTCTTCTCAGCAAGGAAGAGCCCAGTGCCTGAAATAAATATAAAAAAGAGCTTGCTCCATTTTTGCATAACTTTTCCACAACCCTCTTTGAGGATTTCACAATGACTCTTTATCTGACTTCAAATCATAAGCTAAATATCATAGCATAAGTTGCCAGCTAATATTATTAAAAAATTTTTAATTAACTTTCAGAATATATCTTTATCTTGTTTGCTTTATGATGATCCACTGTTTGGATCCAAGGAAAGGACTTCAGTTTCCTTATATCAATCAACTCTAAGTTGTGGGATAATAATTTAAATTACAGTAGCTAGTTTTTTCTCTCAGTGCTCAAAAAAAATACTCCTGTGGGCTTCCCATCAGTACCATCTGAGTCTAATCATAATTTCTTCCTGTAAATGAAAACCCTTCTCTTGGTAGACTACATTTTTACTTCAGTAGCACCAAGCCTGACCTCAGTGCTTTAAATAGAGCAGACACATTTCCATCTTTGCAAACTGAAGGCCATTTAGCAGCTTGCTTGAAATGTGTCTTAATTAACTGCTTCCTAGAAATACACACACAGACCCATACCAGAAGTATCACAAATCTACCATCTGTTACTGCTTCGTGCTCTACAAAAAAGCATCATTATTGGGTGAACATGGCAATAAACAATACTGCAGCTCACCAAAGCGGCTTCTTCTGTAAGAATTTGAACAAATTGGGTAGAAAAAATGATTTGCAGTTTAGATTTACACTGTAGTTGCTATACTTGGGATTATTTGTTGGATTAGTAAGGGACTTCTGTTTCTGAAGCAGCTCAGCAGATTTCTTATGAGCATTGAATTAATTTGAAAAGAAGTCTTGAGCTTCGTGTTCAATTTTTACTCATTTCTTGCTCGGACAGAAAATGCCAATTGCCTTGCTCAAGTCTGCTTTTCACATGCATGAAAAAATTTAGTGGCTGCTCTGTAAGCCCTTCATGCCCTGAAAGGCCATTAGGTGAAGGTGGGGATTCTTGAAATTGAGCAAGTTTTTATTTCAGGCCTGGGATTTTTACTAAGCATTGTTGGATTTTCAGATGTGCAGATTTATAAATGCTCTTGGAGGCCATGAATGTACTTGTGGAATGAATTAATAAAATTACCTTCGCAACAAAGTTATTGATGTATTGTCCTTAACTTGTTTTAACTACAGTCACAATCCAAACCAATAATTATATCCCAGTATTTAAATATTTAATAACTACGTAAATATGTATTTAAATATAGTATGTATTTAAATAGCTGCATATAAAATCCTCCTCTCTCTGCTTTTCAGCCATTCTTTTAAATACTGTTTGGGGTGGTCAATTTATAAATATATATATTTACATAAGAATATAAATACTAATATATAAAATATATATAAAATATATAAAAATATATAAATATATTGTCAATTTATAAATATATTTGCTTGAGTCATTCTGTTATGGTGCAGCCAGAGAAAGGACATTGGTTTGTATGGTGATTTCTCTGAAAAATCATTATGTGATTCCCTTGAAGAACATCATTCTCAGACATTATGTCTGTTTGACAGGAAAAGATTTAAAAAGTGACAGCTGACTTAAAAAGGTCCTAAACTGTCATGGGAATTATGTGAGTTAAATTTGGGTACAAAAAGAAATGCAAAAATTGGGCTTAACATTCATGAGCTAACAACTCCAGAAGAAATTTTTTTAGTATAAGTCTAAACCTCTTTTCCTTTTCTTTCCTTTTTTTCTTTATTCCTTTCTTTCCAGTTACGTTATCACAAACCCACCATATGAATTTGAGCTTGTGCCGACGGACTTGATCTTCTGTTTGATGCAATTTGACCACAACGCTGGCCAGTCCCGAGCCAGTCTCTCTCATTCCTCCCATTCCTCCTACTCTTCCAGCAAGAAGAGCTCATCAGTTCACTCCATCCCATCAACAGCAAACCGACCGAACCGCACCAAGACCAGGGATTCCCGGGACAAACAGAAGTATGTGCAGGAAGATAGACTTTGATATGTGTATCTGCTCCCACTGTGTGTGAAACTTGCATTCACCACCCATTCTCCCCGGTTAATGTTTCCAGCAGTAATGTTCCCCGTTTTCCCATGGAGTTCTCCCTTTTTGTACACATATTTTGCATATGTATGACAGTGTGCATGTGATTGTCATTTTTATTTCACCACCATAAAACCCTTAAGCACAACAGCAACAAAGCAGACGGACCAAAAGTTATTTATGATGCTAGGGGAGAATAAAAAAAGAATTCCAAACCCATAGGCACACTGAAAACATAAATAACTCACTGCAGTTACTCTACATATCCAAAATTAGAGTATATTTAACATGAACACTTGCTCTTGATGTCAGAGTTACACAAAGAAAGTCATTTAGTGCAGAAGTGTTGATGTATGTTGCAGTAGGTTTTTTTTAATACTCATATTTCCAGGAGCCGATGCATTTATTTGACGCTTATAAAACTCTTCTATTGAAAAAAAAAAAACAAAAACTCTGAAAAAAATAAAAATCCCTGCTGATATTTTGCTCTCAAAGCTTATATTATATAGAGCTTACACTCCTTGTATAGATTATTGCTACACATCTGCTTTATACCAAAGCAATATCAGGGACTTTTCTGCTTGTTTAAGAACTTTATCTAAAATACCAGTCTTTTGGAGATAGTGTATTTTCCCTTTAACACTGAAATTGTCTAGGCGTGAAGTTGTAAAACTCCAATGGTTTAATTTAAGTTTAGAAAGAGTCTAATTGCATATTAAATTATTATTCTGTCTATTTATATTGCCACATGAGTAGCTATATTTTCTTTCACTTTTGACATTTGGGATAAAAAGCCATATGTATCATAAATATTGGATGTAAGTCATTAAAAACTGCCTTCTTGGGACTTTTACGTCTTTAAAAGGTGAATTAGTCACCTTATGTACAGAATAAATAATGTTCAGAAAAGAGCAAGCATTTTTCTGTGCTTACATATCAGATCTCAAGGGACTTTGTTCCTTTCCCCAGATGGTAGTTTAACTTTTCCAAGTTACTGTTGGTATAAATCTTCCAACCAGTGTCCTAATATGTGAAGAACCTCTAGAAATCTTGCTGCATGTTCTACCTGTTTTTTTCCAGCAGGTGCATGCCAGTATGGAGGAATACAGGGAAGACAACTGAGTGCCTTTAAATCTCTCCCATTTGGAGAGCAGAGGTGCTGTGCCCCAGGCTGGTAACGAGGAAAGCGAGAGGCCTGGGTTGGAAATATTCGCGGTGCTGAGGCGTCATGTTCCATGCACGTGCCAGAATTTAGTTCTTGCAAATTGTCACCAATGACACATGTAGCCAGAAAAAGTTGTGGCAGGGAACTGAATAAAGTAGTGGAAAGGAGGCCTTCCCTAGACAGCCATAGAAATGATACTTCAGGCTTGCTTTTACTTTTCTTTTCTTGGTGTAAACTTCAGAAGCCAATGTATATTTTGAAATATACAGCTAGCTCTAGGTTTATGGAGGGTTTCCAAGGCTAGGGAGGGCAGAAACACATACCCTCTTCCCTGGCTATCCAGCAAGAAAGCATGCAGACAGAAAAAAGTATTTAGATTTGGAATGATCAGCATTGTAACTGCCAACCCAATCAAGGTGCTTTTATGGTTAGTTTTGTCTTCTACCTTCCCCTTCCCCAAGCATGATAATTTTGAAGATTTGCTTGCTGTGTGAATTGACAATAAAGCCAAGCACTTTTACTGACAAAACCTGGAACCATGTAAGTGGGCTACAGAGAATACCACTGTGCAGTGCTAAGCATAATGATTGGAATCCAGTATATATGTGTGAGTGTGCATTCAAACGCAGCTGTAAGTCTGATCAGCGAAATACGCTGCAAATTATGGTTGCTCCCCTGCAAATGAGACTATTACAGTTGCTTTTCATCATAAAGAAAAATTCATGTGTTCGTTTTTGCAAAGAAAGTTATCATGTTTTGCCCTGAGAATATTTATTACTACAAGGATGTGCCAGTTAAAGTGCTCAACCAGAAATATGACAGTTTAAAAGCATTGTAAAACTTACATAGCTTACTTCTTTTTCTAAAGTGCAACAAGGATGAATAGAATGGGCCAAGGTATGACAATTAATGGTTCTGCATGACCTAGCAACTGCTGTGGGTTTCCCTCTATAACTTTGTCCTTGTGAAAACTTGTGAAATTAAAAAAAAAAAATAGTTACAAACTTTATTCAGTTATTGGTTTGTTTGTTTGGTTGATTGTTTTGTTGGTTTTCTTTTGCCTTTTTTTTCCCACCAAACCAGAAGTAAAACTGGCTGCTGCTGCTGCTGCTGCTGTTTCTCAACCCCATTTTGTTTTTTTATCCTCTCATCTGCTTGCCTTTCTAATTGCACGTGTCCTTTTGTAAACACCCAGGTTCCTGCTCAATGAAGATGCCTATCATGGTGCAGACATTACTTTAATTTCCCATGCCTCATTCCAATTTCTTTCCTCCCTCCTCTCCTATTCCCCATGTATGTACATGAGCATCTTTTTATGTCCGCAGTATTGATTGAAGGTAGTAGAGAGCAGTTACACATTTTGGAAGAATGGTAATGGCTTTGACACCAAAATGCTTTTCCATTAATGTTTTATCTGTTTTCCATTTAGCAGAGAAAGGAAGGGTGTTAATATGAAGCCACTTGTCACATCCTACCTAATGATTTTTTTCAAAAAAAAAAAAAATAGTATTTGGATAACAGTGCAGCTCAAATAGACAAAACATAAACAGCGTACATTAGAGAAGTAACTTGCTGATTTTGTGAGCAGCAGAAGAGGAATATCTAATACAGGGGCAAATCTGAATTCTTCAAATTACATTGAAGTCTGCTCCACCTCTCTGCTCTGTCTTGAATTTAGAATTCTAAAACTTTTGACTTTCAGTAATATTGTGTGCAAATTCCACATGACTCTAGTCAGATTGGTCAAATGGTTTATTATAGTGATGAAAATTTTCTGATATGGGCATACTAATGGCAGTGGGTCATTATGAATAGAGAAATATTTAAACTAACCCTGTGTTGGTTTTTATACTGAAAAGTAAGAGGAAATCTCCTGTTCTATGCCAAGTCAGACAACCATAGGAAAATACCTAGTTTTGAAAGTGGAGAAGAATCACTAATGTCACGATGTGATGTTTTAGGTTTTTAAATGAAGGTCCTGCCATTTATATCAGTCCCAGCATGGTTTCAGCATTGGAAACCAAGTTCTTAGTGAGTTCAAATGTTGACACAAAACAATATCTAGCAGACCTGCAGGTTCTTTGCCTGGGTTCCTATTGACCTAATAAGAGAGAGACAGGCATTTTCCAGTGAAATTCCCATTGTCAAAACTAGGGATTTTGGTAGTTTAAAAGATAAAAAAAGTAAGAACAAGTCCGGAACATTATCTTTATCACAAATCTTTGGTTGAACTGGAGCAAAGTAAAGTTCTTCATAGAAAAAATAGTTTATTCTCTCTTTCCCTGAAAATTTCTTGCTGCCTGCTACATATAAAATATTCATCTGCCAGAGAAGGAATTGCTGAGCAGCTGGGTGGAGAAACTTTCATTACTTTTTGTCTCACTCAGGAACAAATTACATGGGAGAATTTTCAATTTAGTTATGAACAAGATGTTTACATGCAGGAAGGAGACACACAAACACATACATGCAAACTAATTTGATACTGCAAGTGTCACAGAAGACAAAAAATTCATGTTTTAAACAGTTGAAAGGTAATCTGGGATTAGGGTGAGAATGCAAATTAAGTAAAACCTTTGTGTCATGTTTGGGTAGTATTTTCTTTGCCTCTGCTTACAAGAGAGGGTGTTTCACAGTGACATTTGTTCTAAGTTGCTACTCATTCCAGAATTAATGATAGAAATTTTAAAGCACCAGTACAACATAGCTGTTGGAGAGAGAATTGCTGGAGTCTTATACAAGTTGAAGAGAACTCTATTTTGATCTTTTTACTTTGATTATTTATATCCCTTTTTTTATGCTGTGGGGAAGTGTGTTACACGAAAACGTTAATTTTTATTTATTTGTAATGTGAGAATGAAGCCTTTTGATCCCTCATGGATGCACTGATGCTGATGGCCCATTGCTAACATAGATTTTTGAGGGGAAAGTAAGTGTTTTCTGCTTTCTGATACATTCAGTTACTTAGCTCTTCCAACATCTCTCAGGTGATGCTGTCGAAACGAAGCCTGTCAAATAGCGTAGGAAGATCAGGGACTTTTTTTCAGCAGCTCCTAAAAAAAAACCAAGATAAAAAACTATGCCTATTGTCACTATAATGTAGAAACACTTCTGGTAAGGATCAATATGCATATTACAAAAGGGAGAGGAGCAGACTGAATGTGACAGAGAGCTTAAAAGTGCTTGGTGAGTATAGCAGTATATAAAGACTTTAGAAAGGGAATTTCTGATCTCATCTAAAAGAAAGAGTAAATATTAAAGATAAAAATCTGTGCTAATACTCTAGAAGACATACCAAAATCAGGCTGTAAGCATAGCATAAAAGAATGAAAAGTGTGTAGGGGCTTCAAGAAGGACATTTAGTATCTGGGAGCAGAGTATCATAGTGGCCAAGAGTAAAGATCAGGAGTGTTAAGCTCACATCTCAAAGGTAAGTGGAGAGGTCAATGAATTTGCACAGGAGGTTTCATTTTCATGTGGTCAAAGATAACTTTAACAGCAGAAAAGAACAGGAAAGGAATAAAGCTGGATCTAAGCATTGCATGCTGGAGATGATAATGCTTGGATCAAAGTTTCAGCGCTGGCAAAAAGAAATCTAAACAGCAAAATAAATTAGAATCTACCAGCTTCTGCATTTATTATTAATGTTCTGTATTTGTTACTTGCCAGGTAAAGGCAAAAAGAGACTGGGTGGTTTCTTTTTAAAGAACAGCTCCCTATACAGGAGCTTTATTTTAAATTTAACACGTGAATAAATAGCTTCTTTTGAAAATTTTAGGGAAAGCAGGATATTTTGAAGTGTTTTGCACTGGCTGATGAGAAACACAACACAGTTATGATTCTTAGCACTCACACAAGTCTCCCCTTACTTGCTACAATGTTGAATTAACTTGCACCAAGTTCTGTTTGTAAGGAAAGTTTTTGCACCATGTGTTAAAAAAAAGAAGGTAGCAATGAAAGTTCACGGTGCTTAACTTGCCTTAAAATCATTTTAAACACAAACCATTAGAAAACTGTTAGTTTGAAATTGTTTATGTGATCTCACAAGGCTTTTAAAACATGATAACCATCACACTTTACACCTCTCTGAAAGGTTAGTTTAATCGTAGATCACATAAAATTGGTTTCCACAAATGCATAATGGTTCATGTGTCACACTTGAACTAAATGGTTTTTTAAATGGAGCTGAAATTATTTTGATGTGTACACATTCCCAGACTTCTTTTTCCTACAACCTTTCTTAAACCAGCCCCCATCAGGAATCATTCCCTTAAAGTCTCATTAATAATTCAGATGTTCTGATTACTTTAAAAGATCTATGGAATTGAGGCTTTTTCTTTCTTTTTTTTTATTTTTTTTTTTTAACTGCTTGACAAAAAGATAAATGAATGTAGAAAGAAACGGTAGGAGTCTGGCAAGCTGTAGATCATCTCTGAACAGATTGTAACTTTATCATTCTGTCAGGAAGAATAATTTAAAGCACTTAATCAGTTAGCTTCAGTGTGCAGGATGTAACATTATGAATTCCTATCGTCCAATCTGTTCAAATCAAAGGGAACTTAATTATAATAGGTGAGAGAGAGGGAGATGGGAGATTGAACATTGCTCAGACTCAGGCAACTTTAAGGGGGCTGGGAATTATTTAGTCTGGTCACAAATGAGTAGGATATTTTTAAACATAAGTGAAAAGCATTTTAGAAAATTACAAGAAAAACAATAGAGTAGTTCTGCTTCCCTTCAGTAATAATCCACTAATAAGTAATTGAATTCCTAGGTTTAAATTAATTTTTAAAAAAGTGTAAGAACAGGTAACAAAGGTTTTAATGGGGAGTGGGGGTCTGGCATGTAAATTCTAAAAATCCATATAAAGTGGAAGTGTTTTAATTTGTTATTCATGAAAGTGACTGAAATGTCCAGTAATTCTTTAGATTAAGCTACTTCTTGAGAGATTCTATGTCCAAAGCTCTTTGTTTATTTTGTGGACTTATGTCCAGGTATTTGTCCTCTATTCTTCTGTCTTTCCATTTCTTTTCTCTCCTTTACCTCCTGAGCTTTTGTGCTCAGTCCTTGGGTTTCTAAGGTGAATTTTGCTTTGCTAATTTCAAATCATTTATTTATTAAAAAATGAGCATTCCTTCTACTTCTGTCCTGATTCCAGATATTGCAGCATTTCAGTGGTTAGCAAAAGTAGCAGTTTATCCTGAGTGAGGCACTAAGGCTTCTGCAGCATTTTGGATGCCCCATTAGAATGAGAAGTAGTGCATACATGTAAGACTGGCAGCTCTGGTGCCACACACTTTTGAACCTTGGATGTAATAACGAAATGCCCAGAACTGTAAGTGTCCACTGCTCTGCCCACCCACCCCTGGAATCTGGGGAAGGAGGACAAGAGTGGAGACAGAACCCTGTTCACAAATGCTTGCCAAGGCACAAGTGCACCTAATGCCTATTAGCCACTCTCTAGATCAGGAGTTTCCAAGTCTTGGAATAAAGTTATCTTACAAAATTGCATACCTGTCATTGAGAAATTACAGCAGAAATTGCTCTCTAAAGGGTTTAAGAATTAATTTTTTTTTCTTTTCTGAATTTTAAGAAGCTTTTGTCCATATTTGCAACGGAGCAGTGCAACACAGTGGTTGCAGTGATGAACAGCTGGGAAAGGGCTGCAATGCTGCAGCCTCTCAGCATCCTCCCACATTGCTCCCAGCCCACCTTAAAGCTGCACCATGAAATTCTTCCTGTGTTCATGGAAACAGACATTGCTCAAGGACAGAAAAGAAAGAGCTTCCTCTCTTAATTTTCCTTTAAGTCCTTACTGTCTTTGCCTTGCTGTCATCTATCATGACCAATCCATT